GTCTGTAAACATACAGACGTCAACACACTTAAAAATAAAGGTAACAGTTAAAGGGCTTTACAGCCGGACACCATAAATCAGCATGACTTACAGCCTAATGCCAATTCTTTAAAAAACAATTGATGCACTGATTATTTGTGATTTAAAGATCCTAGAACTCAATCAAGAGCTTTCTAAATCTTCAGAATATCATATAGTCAAGACCTCTGAACAGTGAAAATGTGCCCCGATAACCCACTGAAGAACCTTTATTTTTAAGAGTGTATCACTACGAAATGCAAATTTTTTTAACACACACAGTATATCATTCAACTTTAAGTCTTCAAAACAAATAAAAGTAGATTTTCACTAATTTATAATCCAATAATCAAATAAACACATTTTAGCATTATCATTTTTTTGTATTTAATTCAGATTACCATGAAAACAATAACCTATACTGATGAGAAAATAGGAGGCTTTAATGAGTTGAATGCAAACTCATTTAATTGAAATACTAATTATCTTGTTATCTGGATAACACCTTAATCTATTAAAATGGACATAATGGAAGATTTAATGAGACTCTACATTTACAGTGGGTTTATATACAACCAATCTTTTCTGAAACAGTCAAAGTATAATATAAGGAATGCTTGCATTAGGTTAAAAAAACATAGCTGCTGGTACATATGACACCACATCAAAAAGAAAATCCAGGTTACAATTTTAAAAGTGATTAAAGATTATTTTCCCTCACAAACCCTGTTATGGTTGATGTGGTGTTGTCATCCCATAGCATTACTGTATATTCTGTGATTCTGGTAATAATAATAACCAAAATTAGCTTTCGTGTCAAAAATGATTTTTTTCTCTACTCAGTTGTAGGCATAAACACTTCATATAAACAAATAGTTTATCTGAAATTCAAACGTGTGCTGAACCAATGATAAATTAAACGCCCAATGTGTCACTGCTGGTTTCAATTAGTTGCTTTAGCTGCCCCAATACAATCTGAAAAGTACAGCTGTTCTGTACGACTAGATTTACCCAAACAAACTGCAAAACAGTTATTTGAATTTCAAAGAGTTGGCAAAATATACAGATGGAGTCAGCATTGGCATCTATGTTTACAGCAGTGAAATGTTGCATGCATGTTGCAAACACCATCAGATGCCCAAGTTGCAATTTTTGAAAACATTGAGAGTTTCGAATTAGTTACGGTGATAGTCTTTCATGTTGACTTTGTTTTCAGCTGTACAACTTATTCTATTCTCACTTTTTAAAGTTAGACTATAACATTATGCTATGTACAAGCACAACATTATGTTGTATGAATGCACTGTAATATAGGTATGCATAATGCAAAGCAGGGCGGTTATGCACATCCATGTTAAAGGTGCAGTGTGTAAATTTTAGCAATCTAGTGGTGGGGTTGCGAATTGCAACCAACGGCTCAGTCCCCCGCTCACCCCTCCCTACAGTGGCCGATACAGGACTAAGATGTCCTCGATAAAGACAGCAGAGTGCAATGAGATTTCTTTACAAAGGTAAATTAAGGAATTATATTTACTTAATTATTTAATAAATCGATGTTATTGCGAATATTAATGTACTTGTTCATCAGTGTGTCAGTGTGTTATTCGCAAGAACAACAAAGTGACGAAACGCGCTGTGTAGAGCAGTTTGTCCGTTTAGGGCTACTGTAGAAACATGGTGGCGACTTCCATGTAAGGGGACCCGCGGTGTATGTAGATATAACCCACACTCCAGTCCAGTAGGTGGCGGTAAATGCACCTTTCAGTTGGTTTGCCAACCGCCAATAAAATTTAAAGAAGAAGATGTAGATATAAATAGCTCAATCTAAGGTAATGAAAACGTAACGGTTCATTAAGTAAGGTCTTTATACATCTCTGAAAACATAGTTATGTTTATTATATTGCATTTCTGTCAATAGATCGATGTAAATATTACACATTGCACCTTTAAATACTACTAATAAACGCGAGTAGGAGTGAAGTGTGAGGTTACATTCTACCTGCAACTCTCGACAGAAGGCAGTGATAGTTAGAATCAGGAATCATCAACGATTTTGTCTTTCTTTGGTTTGTCTGGAAACATAAGGACACTCAGACCACATCTGCATGTTCAACGAGCTGCGCTGGATCCTCTGATCACAAACATTATTTAACAACATCAGCAACAAGGAACGAAATGTGCTAAAATGTTTCTTTCACATAGTGAACAATATAAAAGAGAAAGCAAAAGGTGTCAAACTTGGAGAAAGGACAGGCTACTTTCTTGCATTATCGTCTTTTCTGTAGTCCAGTCTCACATCTGCCGCCCTCTGGAGCCCTTCAGTACTACAGGACGCTTATACAGGAAACGAAACCCTTCAAAGAGCCCCCAAACTCAAAGATCTCCCAAGATCTCTTCAAGTTTTTGTGTTGCTTATGAAGGAAATCGAACCAGAAGCTCGTGGATCTCACTGCAGGATTACTTCTTGGCGAGCTGGAACGGATTCTGACCCTTTTAATAAAAGAAACATACATATTTGTAGCGGGCATCTGCAGCAATGACATACGGAGAAGGCCTCACACAACATAACACAATCCCGAAACCCACTGATGCAGTTTTCACACTTTCGTCAGATGCATATCACAGTAACAAGCACAACTTCAGCATGTAAACATCCAGAGGGTGTTAATTTTTCTTAGTCTCTGTGTGAACGTCATGTCATAGCTATGCAAACAGAGTTAAAAATGAGAATCTTCTTAGGATATCAAATCAAAGAGAGAACATATGAATAAATAAGACGTGTTTGAAAACGTTTTGGCTTTTTACAGCCATTTATTATCTTATATTCCTCATGTTGACAGCATAGCTTCGACATTATTGTTGACATGTCTCAAAAGTACTTTGGCAGAGTAAAAGCATTAAGGCACATGTTAGTATGAGATATTACAGACAGATAAAATGTTTATAGACACGTGATTACAAACCATGCTTAACTTGATATTAAGTGGCAAAATGGAACCCGAATAGCTTGTCAATGTAAGCAGCAGCAATCCTACACAATCCACTTCAACACTGAATGAACATTAAACACATAAAACTATTTTAGCTAAGGGCCTTTTTATGACCCTGATAATTTTGTTGGGAATAAACATATTGTGACGTAAATGGCATGTCATGTGATTCTTCATTTTTACTTATGGATGAGGTAAAACGGGACATACACTACCATTCGAAAGTTTGGAGTCTGTAAGATTTTTGAAAGGAGTCACTTACTCTATGTTCACCAAGGCTGCATTTATTTAGTCAAAATACCTTAAAAACAGTAATATTGTGAAATATTTTCACAATTTAAAATAACTGTATAAGCATGTAATTTATTCCTGTGATCAAAGCTACATTTTCAGCATCATCACGGTCACATGATCCTTCAGAAATCATTCTAATTTGCAGATTTTCTGCTTAAAAAGTTACACTTTTGATCAGTTTAATGCATCCTTGCTTAAGTACTATTATCTAAAAAAAAAAAAAAGAATGACCCCAAACTTTTGAATGGTTGTGTTGATGCTTATTAACAAACACAGATATGTGCTTGACAGTGAGCAGCAATATGTACGAGATAAATTAAGACTAAATTCATTGCCTAAGTATGTAAATTACATTTATCGACTATGCTATTAAATTGCCAGAAATAAGAATAAACTGAGAAAAAATAGCTGCTCAAAGGGCAAGGTTTAGGCATATTTACATGAAACCCATCAAGGCAAAGCACTGCGTGTGGACTTAAGTCATTCTTTTCTTTACATAAAGCCATTTGCAATAATATATTTGGCAAAAAATGGCAGGTGAATATGGAGAAAACTCACTTAACAAGCCATGCAGTGCAAATGTTCATAATGTATGCACTGGAACTCATATAAAACAACTGACTTGATAATTCTACTGCATGTAGTATGGACTTTGAAATAAGTCATTTTAATGTTCAGTAAACATATGCAGTTACAGTGTAAGCTCATTAGGTGTGGTGTGAACATGTTAATCTCAGAGCAAAGGGTTTCCTCTTACACACAAGGCCAATTTGTAACTCCAGCCCCACTAATCAGTGCAGCGTGGTCCGACACAACACATTAAAACACCATGATACAATAAGTTAATAGGCACTTATCAGTTAACATAATGCACAAATATCATGCATATGCTGCCACATTATATTTCTTCCTCCATCAAAAAAAAAAAACATCTTGACATAATGTATAGGTACAGTATAAAGTCCATTACATAAACAACATTACCAGTAATAAAAATAAACATCTGTACAAAAGTCCTGCCAGGATTTTTATGGTTTGCTGTATTTTCCATCGATATAACAGATCAATGGCAAAAAAAGTACAAAAATAAATATTCTATTTACAATCACACACGGCACTCAGGAATTAATGTCACTGCAAAACAAGAGGCAAAAAGATTGAGTTATTTTCAAGCACACACCTTCCGAGCAAATGGAGGTATAGAGTTATTCTTAAAATGTTGAATCGACAGTAAATCTCAAATCATGTTCTAAACAACTGATCATAAAGTATCATATTAGCAGACTGAAAATGTTTAGTTCTATATTGAGTAATGCTCGAAATAATTTCTTAACCAATTTGTATTACATTATGATTACACATTCTAAACTTATTATAGATGACTGTTAATATATTCACTTTTAAATCTATACCTCCATATGACAAATTCAGCGCACGAGTTATCATAGTAAGGATGGTATGGCCACAATTATTTAAAAACCAAAATGTTGATATGATCAGCCAATAGAACTCACTTTATTCCAACACCCTGGTACTGGCAAACCATCATCACCCTAAAACAAAGAAGAGGAGTGGTGAAGAACGGTAAGAATTAGTCATTTTCTTGAGAAGGGAGACATAACCGTATCCGTGCGCGTATAGTATATATAATCCTTTCAAAAGTCACTTTCGAAACATACATTTCCATTTCATATAAAACAACTGACTTGATAATTCTACTGCATGTAGTATGGACTTTGAAATAAGTCATTTTAATGTTCAGTAAACATATGCAGTTACAGTGTAAGCTCATTAGGTGTGGTGTGAACATGTTAATCTCAGAGCAAAGGGTTTCCTCTTACACACAAGGCCAATTTGTAACTCCAGCCCCACTAATCAGTGCAGCGTGGTCCGACACAACACATTAAAACACCATGATACAATAAGTTAATAGGCACTTATCAGTTAACATAATGCACAAATATCATGCATATGCTGCCACATTATATTTCTTCCTCCATCAAAAAAAAAAAACATCTTGACATAATGTATAGGTACAGTATAAAGTCCATTACATAAACAACATTACCAGTAATAAAAATAAACATCTGTACAAAAGTCCTGCCAGGATTTTTATGGTTTGCTGTATTTTCCATCGATATAACAGATCAATGGCAAAAAAAGTACAAAAATAAATATTCTATTTACAATCACACACGGCACTCAGGAATTAATGTCACTGCAAAACAAGAGGCAAAAAGATTGAGTTATTTTCAAGCACACACCTTCCGAGCAAATGGAGGTATAGAGTTATTCTTAAAATGTTGAATCGACAGTAAATCTCAAATCATGTTCTAAACAACTGATCATAAAGTATCATATTAGCAGACTGAAAATGTTTAGTTCTATATTGAGTAATGCTCGAAATAATTTCTTAACCAATTTGTATTACATTATGATTACACATTCTAAACTTATTATAGATGACTGTTAATATATTCACTTTTAAATCTATACCTCCATATGACAAATTCAGCGCACGAGTTATCATAGTAAGGATGGTATGGCCACAATTATTTAAAAACCAAAATGTTGATATGATCAGCCAATAGAACTCACTTTATTCCAACACCCTGGTACTGGCAAACCATCATCACCCTAAAACAAAGAAGAGGAGTGGTGAAGAACGGTAAGAATTAGTCATTTTCTTGAGAAGGGAGACATAACCGTATCCGTGCGCGTATAGTATATATAATCCTTTCAAAAGTCACTTTCGAAACATACATTTCCATTTCCCCTCTGCAGTCAATCAATCAATAGATGGCTGTCCGTGCACACAAACATAAACACATAGTGGCAACTAAAATTATAATTGTATAATATTTTAAATTATAATTTTTTATAATTACAACATGCCCTAAAGTAAATAAAATCACCCAATGCTAATATAGTATAATGCATATCTATCCATCTACTGTATGTACTTGGATATTTCATTCAACTCAATTCAAAGTGTTCTCATTCTTGACAATTTAAATGGTGTCCATGAAAACAATGACCAGTCAAGATGCCTGCTTTTTGCAACAATGCATTTCCAGTAAACACTTTCTCTCATGCAGATATCTGTGGTGACCCATGGATGCTCCAATTTACTGGACTGAAACAGATGTGGTGAAATGTAGTGGAGGATTATTTAGACAAAATGTGGGTTAGTGTAAGAATATTGAATACAAAGATAAGTGAAATGAAAATGGAACGCATGCAGTCATGTTAAACATTAAAAAGGTTAACTAGTTTAGTAGCAACAATCCTATTTTACAAGTAGTCTAAATATTTTATCCACATTCAACAGAAATCTAGAAAGTTAAACCTTATTTATGTATTGATGAAAACAAACGGTTAGATTTGTATTATTTTATTATAGAAATCAATTAATTGTTTTGAAACATTTTTAAAATGGCTAAAAATTAAGGAAATAGTTTACTCACCCTCTGGCCATCCAAAATGTAGAGTTTGTCTCATCAAAACAGATTTGCAGAAATTCAGCATTACATCACTTGGTCACCAATGGATGCTCTGCAGTGAATGGGTGCCGTCAGAATGAGAGTCCAAACAGCTGGTAAAAACATCACAATAATCCACAAGTAATCCAGACCACTCCAGTCCATCAATTAATGTCTTGTGAAGTGAAGTCTGAGTGTTTGTAAGAAACAAATTCATCATTAAGAATTTTTAAAACTACAATATGAGTCCTCTATCCATAATATTGCTTTCGCCAGTGAAAAAGTTGTCTTGTCTGAATCAGAAGAGAAATATGCACAGATCAAGCATCGTTTACAAGGAAAAAACATTACAAAGCAGTTCTAAACAAATATGTCTGTGGATTTTGATGTGAGAGGACAACAGTGGATGGACTTTTTCACTGGAGGAAGTATTATTATAGATTTAAAGACTAGTATTGTAACCCGAAGCGATTGTTTAAAGTAAAAAAAACAAAACAGCTTTTCACTTCATAAGACATGAACTGATGGACTGGAGTGGTGTGGATTACTTATGGATTATTGTGATGTTTTTATCAGCTGTTTGGACTCTCATTCTGACGGCACCCATTCACTGCAGAGGATCCATTGGTGAACAAGTGATGCAATGCTACATTTCTCCAAATCTGTTCCCTTGAAAAAACAAACGTATCTACATCTTGGATGACCTTGGATGAAGTGTGAGTAAATTTTAATATTTAGGTGAACTATTCCTTTAGAGTTAATTATAGATATTAATACTGATGCATGCAAGAATTTTTCTTGCATGCAATTTGTAACTCTTCTCTCTCCATTCCTTAAACGGGCTATGCTGAAGCATTATGCAATTAGAAAGCATGACTGGTTCAGGAAGGCAGGAAGCATGCGGAATAAGGAAAGGGATAGACAGCAGCATACCACGGGACACGGGGCATCTAGCCCGTCCAGGCCTGGCAGCCCCGGTTCACCTTTCTCTCCTTTAAAGCCTCGGAAACCCTGTTCATGAAATCAATCATATAAACATCCTCTTGTCCAGCTACACTGGCCGCTCTGCTCCAGCGTCTGATTGGCCCAGAACACACTGGACCCGAGACTGACAGGAAGAGACCTGCTGCATCCACAGGGCTGGAAACTCACATAATTTAGTTACTGAACTAGGGGTTCCATCCTACTGTGTTCAGCAGAACCATATTCCTGTCAGTCTTACTCCTGTAAAGCAAACATCCCATTGAGAGTTCTGGTGCCTAGTCATTTTTAATTCAAATCCCCATCTATAATAGTTCTAATATAATGCGTGAGTAACATATGAGTCTCTATATTGTATATACGTTGTAATTCACAGACTTCGACCAGAACTCTTCTGGGCATCTGTTAGTGTTTATTACACAAAGACATAAGGAGGCGTGGCTTTCGGGAAGTCTCCTTTTGCCTTAGTGCTGCACGTTGAACGAAAGACATACCAAGGGACACGGGGCATCTAATCCCGGGGCTCCTTGGTCTCCCTTATCCCCTTTGGCCCCCCTGTTGCCTTTCTTGCCCCTCTCCCCCTGCAAACAACAGTGCATTCAAAAAAGTCAGACTTTAGTCCTCCTAGTCTACTATAGCAGTACTAGTAAGAAAAGCACCATCACTATGAATAACTGTAAGAGACTTTAGATGCTTTACAAGACATTCTGAGAGTAGCTGTGTTTCTGAATGGAGCTATGATGAGTAGTGGGATCATTTAAGGAGGGTAAGTGAAGGGGTTAAGGAGAAGGAGATCAGCCAGTGTGGTTAGTGTGCAGACTATCATTTACTTGATTTATTTAATGCACATTTATTTGGACAGTGTAAAGCGCTTTTCACAATACATATTTATACATTACAATTATTATTATTATTATAAGCCATATAAGTGACAGAATTTTAATATCACTTTGACTTTTTATTTGCAAAAAGTTTAAATGAGGGAAAAATACTAAAAGCACATTTATTAAACGTAATAACTGTTCAAAATAGAACAAGAATAGAATAAATAAGATTAAAGTTGACTGACTTATGTAAAGGTCATGTCCTTGGGATTCTATGTATTTATATATGTATTTAATTTTATTTGTCTCAATTATATATGCACTACAGTTCAAAAGATTTTGTTGGTAAGAAAGAAGTGTTTTGTCTCAAGGTTAAATCAATTTGATTAAAAACACAGTAAAACAGCAATATTGTGAAATATGATTGCTATTTATAATAACTGTTTCTGTTTTAATATATTTTAAAATGTAATTGGTTCCTGTGATGCAAAGTTGAATTTTCAGCACCATTCTTCAGTGTTACATGATCCTTCAGAAATAATTCTAATATGATTTCTTTATGGGTTTTTTTCAGGATGCTTTGAAGGATAGAAAGTTAAAATGAAATAGAATTAAATATTAATAAAAAAACAGAAATATTTGGTAACTTTATAAATGTTACTTTACTATAATTTATTTTTATTTAATGTGTCCTTGCTGAATAAAAGTATTAATTTATTTCAAAAGAAACAAAACTATATACTGACCCCAAACTTTTAAACAGATAAATGATAAATGCCTTCATGGCATTTATATTGTAGGGTCACTCCAACTAGAAATGCCTGAAAAGATTACTCAACATTTATTTTTTTTAGCCCAATATCTAAACCTTTGAATTCAGTGGCGTATTGGGTGATCACTTCTGAATGGAACAAACTATGTTTTTATCCCCCGATCTTGACATCAAATGTTGTCTCCAATAAATAGACAATCTGTGATTGATTCCATATAGAACTCTTGAGTCAATGAAATATAATTACAAAGGCTAATTTACAAAACTGAAGAGGCACTAAAACAGTTTAATCAACATCCCTATGCTTTACTACTAATTAAAACCAGATCTGCTTTTAGAGTGTTTCATGATTTATGCTCAAGTCTGCACGCGAATTGAAGGGTTCTTCAGAGGAAACTATTACATTTAAGCATTATAAGCCTTCCAAAGTGGGATCTATCCAAGCTAGGATACAGAGTTCTAACATTCTGCACAGCCCTCATCATGACTGTTATTCTAACACTTAATGGAGGAAGAAGAAAAAAATCAAAGTGGAATTACATTATGAATCAACATGGAGCTCATTTTCAAATCCTGTTTGACAAATACTGATTCTATAAGACTGTTTCTGAACTTTTGGCTCCCGACTGGAGTGTTTTTTTCTAAATACTCTCATCAGGATGTCAAAATGAGCTCCGCACTGACATAATGCCTTTTCCCACATTGCTTGGTTATGTGCCTTTTCAAAAGAGATCCAGATGAGGCTTTCGTGGAACAATAAGAACTCTGTGCATTAGAATAATTGGGAGAAAATGAATGCAGGTTGGTAGGGAGGTCAGTGAAGGATATGAACAAAAGTAGGAGGTGAGGAAGAGGAGGAGTATTAACCCAGGCTACAACATTAGGATGCAGGAGGAGCAGGAGGAGGCCAGCGAGTGAGAAGGGGACAGAGAGGACGACCCGGCCCGACTCAGCAAAAAGAGCCACGGACACAGGCCAAGGTGTGGGGGGAGGAAAAGGGGATAGGAAGACCTGTGGAAAAAAAGAGAGGAAGACAAGGAAAGGACAAGAGTAAACACAGCACCGTGTCCAAAGGTCCTCCACAGCACCTTCCACTGAGCACAATTATCCAAGACTTGAGTTATTTGGTCCTGTTCACTACTACATGGCCAGTGGAGGATGCTGGGAGGAGCACTGACATGTCCTGACATTCAAGGTGGGAAACATTCAGTCATTAACTGAGGAAATTAGTGTTAATAGGATCGAGGCATTCAGTCTAGGAGGATGAAAGCATAGGAAAAGCATAGAAAAGCAATGGTCTATTCATATTCTTTTTATAATAATATCTCTTTTGCAGAACATTTTAACTTTAGCCATTTATATCATACGTCAGTTTTTCTGTTAATCATGCAACAAAATATATTTTTGTCTCTTTGAAGGTGTTTACATACGCTAAACGTGTCTATATACTAACAAAATAAGAACTGCAAAAACAAAGAGAATAATTGCAAATAAATATATGCATATAAGGATTAACAAAAATACTGTTCTGAAATAAGAATATATGTGTAAATCATGATCAATGAACATATACAGTGGCCTTTTTTAAATGTAATACTTCAATGACTAATTGAATCAATTTAACTTGAATTTCATTTGTGCATGTGTAAATCCTGATGCTTCATTCATCATGATTTGAGAATGAAAGGGCATGCTTCAATCTGTACAAAAAGTCACATGATCACACACATTTTCTTATTTAATTAATGACTATTTAATGATAATTAAATAGTATAAAAATTACATTTTACTCAATATTTACTGCATAACACTTGTGTTTTCACGTTTAAGCATTTTAGATTTAAATTTTCTTATTTTCAGACTTTTAGACCTCACTGTATATGTACACATATTTTCTAGCAGTAAGCAGTAGCCATTCTAATTTCTTATACCCAGCATGCTTCTGCTTGTCTCATTAATTTAAAATTATAACAATTACAACTAATATTGCATAATTTTTATTTTAACAAATTAAATAACCACAGGTTTGTTTTAAATAATGGAGAGTAGCTAATGCTTAAAAGTTTGGCAGATTCATGCTGGTTTAGAAATATCATCCATCCCTTTATTTTAAGAAAGTGGACTCATGTTATTGTCCCTTAAAGTCACAATAACATATTCTACAAACGCATTTATAATCTTACCCGGTTTCCTTTTAATCCCGGTGGTCCTACTAAACCCTGAATGCATAGGGGAGGGAAGTTACTGATGGTCCATTTTTCATTTGAATGCACTTATGTGGTTATTTGGAAACAGTATTTGAAATGTTAAAGTGTGCCCTGGTTCAGCACTTACAGGGATGCCTTGAGGCCCAATTGGTCCAGCTACTCCCATTTCACCCTTTTCACCCTGTAAAGTAAAAAAGACATTATACATAATACTGGCATTATACTGAACCTATATTACACTGGACTTTACTCCTCACACAATCAGTGAATACTTTATTTTAACTACACTGAACAAAATTATAAACGCAACACTTTTGTTTTTGCCCCCATTTTTCATGAGCTGAACTCAAAGATCTAAGACTTTTTCTATGTACACAAAAGGCCTATTTCTCCCAAATATTGTTCACAAATCTGTCTAAATCTGTGTTAGTGAGCACTTCTCCTTTGCCGAGATAATCCATCCACCTCACAGGTGTGGCATATCAAGATGCTGATTAGACAGCATGATTATTGCACAAAGATGACCACCATTTGCCTCACGCAGTGCAACACATCTCCTTCGCATAGAGTTGATCAGGTTGTTGATTGTGGCCTGTGGAATGTTGATCCACTCCTCTGCAATGGCTGTGCGAAGTTGCTGGATATTGGCAGGAACTGGAACACGCTGTCATATACACCGATCCAGAGCACCCCAGTCATGCTCAATGGGTGACATGTCCGGTGAGTATGCTGGCCATGCAAGAACTGGGATGTTTTCAGCTTCCAGGAATTGTGTACAAATACTTGCAACATGGGGCCGTGCATTATCACGCTGCAACTTGAGGTGATGGTCGTGGATGAATGGCACAACAATGGGCCTCAGGATCTCGTCATGGTATCTCTGTGCATTCAAAATGCCATCAATATAATGCACCTGTGTTCGTTGTCCATAACATATACGCCTGCCCATACCAACCCCACCACCACCATGGGCCACTCGATCCACAACACTGACATCAGCAAACCGCTCACCCAAAATGGGGGCAAAAACAAAAGTGTTGCGTTTATAATTTTGTTCAGTGTAGTTGACAACAGGCCATTGAAATATTGACGACACTCACAGAGCAACTAGTTTCATTACTATCCTGCATGTGCATTAAACATCTAATAATTCAATGATTGATCAAGTTTTTTATCACCTAAGCAATGTTGTAATCAGTGTTGGGGGTAATGCATTACAAGTAACATGAGTTACGTAATCATATAAATTTTTTTCAACAAGTAAAGTAATGCATTAGTTTTCAGTTACAACTAAATATCTGAGTTACTTTTTCAAATAAGTAATGCAAGTTACTTTGTTTTCCCATTTATTCACTCACACCTCTCCTGTCTTGCTTTAGGCACTTCCTTCAGGCTGAGGCTTATTAATTTCACCTTTGGTGTGAAAGGGCTTTTACAGCTGCCAAAAATATAACTTTTAGGTTTTTTGTTATTAAAGGGGTCATATGATGTTGCAAAAATAACATTATTTGGTGTAATGAAATGTGTTTATGCGGTTCAAGGCTCAAAAAACACATTATTTTCCACATACTGTACATTATTGTTTCTCCTCTATGCCCCGCCTTTCTGAAAGGCGTCGATTTTTACAAAGCTCATCGGTCTGAAAAGCGAGGTGTGCTGTGATTGGCCAGCTATCCAGAGCGTTGTGATTGGCCGAATTCCTCAAGCGTGTGACAGAAATGTTATGCCCCTACCATACTGTGATGCCCTGTCAGGCCAGAGCGACGAGACAAAAACATTAAAACCCATTATAAACGAGGCATTTGTTGCGTCCAGTGGGGACATAATTACGGATTATAATGACTTATACTGTCTTTTTATGCGTTGCATTGCATTGCGCCGCGTAAACATAAAACCATGTCTTTTGGAAGGCCAACCAAAGTAGTTTCGCTTTCACAACGAAACACACAGCGCCTTCACGACATGGCAGCGGCGGCAATAACAATACTATAGCGAGAATAAAAGTTAATTCCTTTTTCTAAAAGGAAAAATTGAAATCGCATCATATGACCCCTTTAAAGCCCAGGTGACAAAAAAAAACGTAATGCATTACTTCCTATAAAATGCAACTAAGTACTGCGATTAGTTAATTTTTGAAGGAGTAACGCAATATTATAATGCATTACTTTTAAAAGTAACTTTCCCCAACACTAAATATAATTATTTGTGATTCAAACTATACTTCATTTGGCCAGTTGTCATGATGCTTGCATTCATGCCTACAGCATCATCAAGGTTTTTATAATTTTGCATAACACAAAATATTACTAGAAACACCCATTTTGAAGCCTCATGCATTTGTTTCTAAATTGTTTTTACAGCACTAACCATTTCTCCTTTTGGTCCTGCAGGCCCAGGTACTCCAGCTGGTCCTATCAGACCCTTTGAACAAAGAAAACGACATGTGTGAGCTTCAACAGAGGGCACAGCGGTGGGTTAAGAGTTTAGAGAGGGAGAGAAACTAATCAGTGTTGAGCACCAATAGATCAACAAACTTTTCTGAGCCGAATAAGAGCAATTTGAACTCCTTATATATGTTTAAAAAGAGCTATCCGAGGACCAATCTGCAGAGGAATTCCACAAAACTCCAAAGTTTGTTGATCTAAGTGGAAATAAACAGACACACAAGTAAATATAACAGCGAATCCATCTTCCATTTTCCTCCCATGACTTGGAGAGGAATCAACAGAAGGGCTGTTAGACATCTTGCTTTTTCAGGAGTCTTGCTTCTCAGCCATTTGTACAGTTGTATGCCGTGAAATCATTGTTCATGCAGCCGCATCCCATCATGCTCTCTCCTGGTATGACATTACAAGATCAAAGCTTGTCATGGAATGAAATTAAGCTCTGAAGCTGGGAGGGAATTAAGCCTTCGAAAGGTCAGAGGTCAAGCATGTCTGATTTTTTTTTACAAAGGTATAGAGGGCTGCGACGGCATGAAATGCGAAAGGATTATTCACTTTTGTAGAGCACGATGTGCATACTTTTCAAAGAAGGAGAAATTGCGTTTCAGAGAGAGAGAGAGATGTTTATAAGTGTTTGGCCATGCTCCCCTTCAGTCACTCGCGTGTTGACAGGTTGAGAAATCAACCGAGCGTGGTACCTCTGGAAACAGCAAGAGGCAACAGCCAAACAGGCTTAGGGACAAAGTCAAATCAAAGTCATTCTCATGCCGATGCAACCTCAATAGAGATCTAAACAAGGCATTGACCATTAGACAACACAGAAAAGACACAAAACACAGAAGCAAGCAAGCAACAGCTCAAGCAGAGGCAGACAGACAGAACGAGAGAAGCAGGCGGAGGGAGAAACGAGAGAGGGATGTATGGAAATAGAGTGGTGGATGATGGGAACGTGTCTTGCGCCACTCACCACTGGACCAGGCCTGCCGTCTAAACCATGAGCCCCCTGGACAGCGTGTAAAGAGTTACAGAGCGAGAGGAGAGATGGAGGTGGAGGAGAGGAAGGGAGGAGGGGAGAAGTGTGGGGGGAGGTGAGTGAAGCAGTGACTCGTGTGCCACATAAAAACAACACTAGTTTTGATGGAGGGGTGACGTGTTGAAGATGACATGTGAGAGACAAGCAGTAACTCCTTATAACGTGACTTTAGCATCTTATTGTCTTAGTGCAAGTGTGACTGCTAGTGAACAGGACCTAAAGTTAGGGTGACCATACGTGCCATTTTCCCAGGACGCGTCTTTGCCAGGATTTGTTTTGGCTTTGTTTTTTCCTGTTTTCATGCCTGCTGAAGGTAATGATCGAAAAGTAGTTTGACCAATAACATGCAGGCATTGTATGGTGTGTGTGAGAAGGTGGGATCTATGGTCAAAGCGATGCAATTACGTGTACATAGGATGTGTGTTCGACTTAAAAGCAGCACGGCTCAGATCGATCAGTGTTTGACATCAAAGTACCTCGAGAGCATTTTGAAAGCATAAGGAACCGTCTGTATGGTATTTTGATGTCATACACCGATCGGTCTGCACACACAAAACAAAGCCAAAACCTAGATATTTTAGGCATTATAGAAATCCTGGGAAAATGGCACGTATGGTCACCCTACTAAAGTGGTCCATTCAATCATATAGATGGTGATAAAATAACAACAGGTGGCATATACATTCCAGAAGAGATGCAAAAACTAAAAATAATACTTGTAAATAGTTGTTCGGTTCCAAAACCTAGTGAGCTACATTGCCGTTTGCTGCATTCTAAGGCAGTATGCTGACTGAAACGCAACCTCGTAAGTGACTGAACTGGACCATAGAAAGCGACTTTGCGTGCCACACAAATAGGCTAGCGCTCCTCACGAGAAGTGCACAGGAGACTTGATTTAGCCTGCCGCTAAGTTAAATTTGATGATAGCATGTTGCTGAGCTAACAAAACAAACAGCCTTTGTGCTAGAAATGAACATACAATTCATTTAAATTATGGCAGCTCACTAGGTTATGGAAAAAGTAACATTACCCATCCATGCTGCATTTTCTTAAGCAGCATTTTAATCTTGTTTTCAGTAAAAATCAATAAACAAATTTTATTTTACATCATATTTACTTAAAAATGCATAATGCGCTATTTTCCCCCCTATTTTACCACATTTCCAAACTGTTTTTGCTTTAAACATATATGTACCACAATGTTGTGAGGTTTATGTTTAAAACACTTTTTTATTCCCTTTTTTTATACTGAAAATCAAGACAAAAATGCTGATTAAGAAAACTTTCTTGATATCTCAATTTCTATATCGCAGATTCAAAACAAAAGTAAAGGAGTTACTGTGCCATTGATTATGTGACTAGAATAAGTTAATCAATGACTTTGACACCATAGATATATACTAGTCATGACGTCAGGAAAAGACCCCTCAAATTCATAGTAACAAAACCTATAGCATGCTATTTACAGAGCAGAGAGAAAACATTTTATAAACAACCACATACAGTATTTTGTAATAATAACATGAATGTCAGTCAGTTACAGTAATCTGAAACCATCAAGAACTTGTTGGTAATCGATTAAAATGTGTATAAAACAATGTGACAGGATGATTACGTGATAACACTTGTATATATGATTGCCAAATGTGGATATTCACTGATTCATGCAATGTGACGACACTTAGCCATGAACCATGACGCCTAGTTACAAAGACACATGAAATTGCAGCACATTGATATTTGCATTAAGGGGGGCTAAAGCACAAACCTTACACAAAACATGCTTTTCCACTAACGCTGCACTCAGGAAAGACAAAAACATCTTGATTCAGTTGACAAGATTGTATGAAAACTATCAAATTAATTATGCACTGGTATCACAGGTGTTTTTCATAATGTAAGCTTTTTATCTTACATTGTACTAACTATAAATGCAATGCACGTTTACCAAGTATCAAAAACTGGATTATAAGAATCAGACATGTACTTACAGGGAGTCCAAGATGGCCCCTGTCTCCTTTCTCTCCTTTCTGTCCAGGTGATCCCTTCTCTCCTCTCAGGCCTATTCCTGGTTCTCCCTAAAAAGAACATGAGATTTAATGCCTCATTTAGCATATGGCAGTAGACAAATAACACTTCATTTTACATTAGGTCGGAATACTTACCTTTGGTCCTGGCAAACCTGGAGGTGCCTGATAAGCAAACATTAATAATTATTAGAAATCAGTATCATTTTGAGATGTTTAAAATTAGTTTCTCTTCATAAATGCACCATCAAATGGGGAAAAAAATGTACTGATGCTCCACAGATATGCATGTAATAGGACTGCTGATATCATAAGCTTTTATGAAGTAGACATTGTCCTCACCAATGGCCCAACTGGCCCTGCAGGTCCTGGAGGTCCAGCAGGCCCATAGACCTGAGAGAGAACAGATAAGGAAGTCACCATTAAGACATTTCATTCAATATATTTCCCAACTTAGGAAACACAGAGGGGCTCTATTATCTAATGAAACCCCATAAAAACCTCTAACAAGTGCAATCAGCAGCTAAATAGTGTGGAACATACCAGTTCTGCTTTATCTCCTTTCTCCCCAGGTTCACCTTTCTGACCCTGAAGACATTATGAAAAAGCAAAAGGATAGGAATACTGAATTCTACCATTCATTCAAAAGACATCGAACTGGCATGACGAAATACACTGCATCCCAAAGTCATGCCGTGTCTTTTCAACAATGACAACAATCTGTTTGCTTGAGGGGCACCATTGCGTACCATTAGGCCTGGCAATCCAATATGGCCAGGGGGCCCTGAAACCCCCTTTTCTCCAGTAGGGCCATCTAAACCCTACAGAATGAGGAAAGAATAAGGAAACAGACATTAAAATTGGCAGAAAAGTCAATTGGGGGGGCTGGGTTGATGAACATTACTTGACAGCCTTGTAAACAAGGCCCACAACCAAGAGGCCTTTGAATTCATAGCATCCAACATGTAGGATTAATGATTAGTAAACTGTAGACTTTCAAGACGCAATGCTGCCCACCCAACACAAACGCTTTCAAAATTCATCAAAGCACTCAGCATGATCCCACTTGCTCAAATAACAATGACCACATGTACACGCAACTCATTTTCTGATTAAGGTCTATATTCTGGTTAAGCATTTAATCTGAAAAAGATGTTTACATGTTCCACAGTTATTGCAATATGTTCTTTTAACCAAATTATCCCAAAAAAGGCAAATACAAATGCACTGTCCTCTGGAAATACTGGGCATGCTTTCTTTTTTATTTAGTTACAGTCAATATTCCAAACAAGGGTTACAAGAATCCAAACTTTTCATAAACCAAAATTACATAAACCAAATATATTAGTAATTTCTAGAAACTGAAATATTGGCTTAATTTGGTTAACTTTGCAGTTGGATTAATGTATTTACATGATGTGTACATAATTTGAATATTATGATATTTTGATATCAGAATATTCTTTCATGCAAGACCTTTTGTGGTTATTTAACAATTCAGGTGTAGTCAGACAGACTATATATGATGGGAATGCTGGGTATAGTCACTTACAGGTGATCCTGAGGGACCCATGTCTCCCTTGTCTCCTTTTGGCCCAGGCAAGCCTATGACTCCTCCTTCTCCCTGAGGTCCCTCTGGTCCAGGAGGGCCGAAGGGTCCCTGTTCTCCTGGCTTTCCTCTTGGACCCTAAGAAGCAAACAGGTACAATCACTCAGCATTATGAAGTTTTGAGAGTTGTGTAAATCCATCCACCAGTGGACTAATGGCAGATTAGTGGCTAAAATGTGTTTCATTTATAGTAAATGTTAATTATTATTTACCTTTTCCCCATCAAGACCAGGGGGACCTGGAAGTCCAACATCACCCTGAGAAATTTTTTTTTATGTTTAATGCAAAAGAACAAGGTAGCCTACAATGACATGTCTTAAACCATGGAATGCATGCTGCTGAAAAACTTCCTCAGATCTCACCAGAATTGTATATGAATAGAATCTAAAATTCTCTTAAAGTTATACACTAAGGATAGAAAGGGTAAGAATGAGAGATGCTGGTCAGCTACCTTCAAACCGTGGGTCCCAGGAAGCCCTGGAGGTCCAGGCAGACCAGGAGGGCCCTAAAATAAAAACAATATATACTTGAACATCTGAAAGTAGTTGTCTATTCATCTATGTGTGTGCTCAAATACGCAAACAATATCAAGTTATCCAGCTTCCCATTAAATACTTTTTTCTCAACAAAGAATGACACTTACCATTAAATGCACATTGCGTATATCCTGAAAAATAAAATCAAATTAGTGCCTTCACATAATACAAATTAATCTGTTGAATCTGTTATATGAGGCCGAGAAGTGAATATGCACTCTAACTAAATCATAATCAAATTGAAGAAATTTATATACATCAGAAATAAATACATACATTTTCATTGTTGTTGATTAAAGATTTTCCTGGCTCCCCGGTTGGACCTGGTGGACCCTGTTGAGCAATGGGGAAACAATCAATAATATATAGCATTATTTCTGATATCAGCCATTCATATCACATTCAAACCTGGTGACTTGTTTGCATTATTTTCTCTGTCAGTGACACATGGCCTCTACTCACCCTTGGTCCAGATGGGCCTTCCTGGCCATGGTCACCCTACAAATCAAAAACATTAATTGTGCTATTTTTTCCAAGGACATATTTAAAATATCACAATCATACAAGGTCATGTAGAGTTGCAATGAACTAGCACTTATTTATTTATTTAAAAAAAAAAAAGAGTCAATTGCTCACCTTTATGCCTTGATCACCTTTCTCACCCTATGAAAAGACATGCAACAATGAAAGTCAAAATTTAATTCTGACTAAACCATGAGCTTATGTCACACCACTGACTGTGCATGTCACACCACATCAAGAAAGAAATTCAGCAGTGGACACAAGGTGGAGAATGAGGGGTAGGTACCTTGGGTCCAGCTTGTCCGGGCTGTCCCTGGGCACCTGGTTCTCCTTTGATACCAGCTTCTGCAGCACTAGGATCACTTTTCTCTCCCTAGCAATAAATATCAATATAGGAGTTAACATTCAAAGATTCAAGATGCATCTCTATATGACGAAGGCATATAAAACATTCTAGTGTATGCATCTTGTTCCCATTTGCTTTTGAAGCATTACAGTTGACGTCTTTAATTCACCACAGCTGCGGTACTTCAACACAGGGAGTGAGAATAAAGGTGTGGTCACTGAAATACAACAAATATGGGCCACAGAATATGAGGTCACCTTCTAGGGCTTCTGTTTTGCAGAAACACTAATTAAATCATAACAATTAACACATTAAAAATGTTAAAACAGACTGTCTTCTTCCATTGCCTGCAGCACTGCAAGCCATGCAGATTTAATGCAATTTAATGAAAATAAATGGAACACAAAGTCTAGTGAAACCGCAACGTAATAATTCCACATTGTTAAGTTTCAGTACAGACAAAATAATATCTGAAAATGACATGAAACAGATACATTTTGACACCAAAACCAAACAGAATTGAGTGCAGACAGTCAGGTCACCACTTCATAGAAGTCTTTTAGACATGCATGTGTAATTAAAGTCAAATCAATGCAATTCACTGAAAAATTAAAATATGGTTATTTTTATTCAGCCTCTTTATTCTAAACCCTCTCCTTTTTCTGTGGAACACTAAAGGTGATTTTAAAAAAACTCAGCCATTCTTTTACTGTTAGATAAACTTAAATTAGAAAAAAACCCAGCTGAAATATTAAAATTACTAAAACTAAAAAATAAGAATACATTCACACTACATTGAAATATTAATAAAAATAACAAAAGCACACTTACTAAAACTAACATTTAAATTTACAGTAAAACATAATATCAATAAATAATATAATATTACATAAATTATTTCTAAAATATGGATATATTATTATAAAGTATGGACCACTTTTATGGTGCTTTATTTTCTCATTTTGAAGCTTGAAAATATCATTAAATTTCAAAGAATTGCCAAAAATTCTTCAAACATTAATCACTGTGTTGCACGGAAGAAAGCCATACATGTTTGAAATTGCAAACTGGTGAGTAAAAGTCAACCTCAATATTCAACATCACATCTAAAAAAACTTCCTGAGGGTTTAAGCCCAGTATCAGAACTAGCACTTATGCGAGAAACAGCCACAACACACATTTGGGTGTACCTTGTAGCCCCGTTTTCCAGGGATACCAGAAACACCTGCCTGACCCTTCATAGCGACAGAAAAATCTTCATTACTTTAAGAATGATCAGCAAAATGTGTTAAAGATACAGTCACACCAAACCAGGCCTTTACCTTTCGTCCAGGGACACCTGGGAAACCAGGCTCTCCCTGAAGGTTGCGAGGCATCAACATTAGGAAAACAAAAAGAGAGAAAAGAAAAACTGTGAGAATAGACCTAAACACATCCTCAAACCCTGACCTTTGAAAATCAACAAAGGAATCAGCATCATATATTTTGGCTGAAAAAGCCATTCGTAATTTCAACTGAAGATTATTCTCAGTAATCATTTAGACAAACAATGCTTACGTCGATCGTAAACCCCCAAGGGTCTATCAGATGTCATAATTTCTATTGAAGCGATTAGACAGCACGCGCTGGTATCAATATTTAGACTGGTATGTCGAAGTTTTTGCTCTCCAGGCACGCAAATAGCTGATTACTAGCAGTGCCGCAATGAGCCAACAGTTGGATTGTTATTAATAGTAAAGAGCACAGCTATTTAATTCATGTCTGTTATCTCATGACTAATGAGCAGACATGAAGGCAGTGATCTCAAGACACAGCTGCGGCTGCATGCGGACACTCGACCCATCGAGGTCGAGGGCTGCTGGGGGGGTCTGACTGCTAGTGGCACCATCCGTCTTTCTCCTGCCATCTCATTCCTCAAGTCTCAGACGCCACTTCACAGTGTCAGATGGTGAGATGCTTATATGTGAGGTGCCTGTATAATGAGCAATCAATCACGCTCTGGTGTGAAAGCAGCTTTACATATAATCATAACAGATAAGACTGAGCGTTTTAGCAGCGGAATGCTTCTGGAACAGCATGCAGGGTTCTGGGAAAAAAGGATAGTTCATTATAAATAAATGGGGATGGATAGTGGCTGCAGTAGAAGTGAACTACCTTCACTCCTTGTTTCCCAGGCATTCCAGGCATCCCTAGCTCACCCTGCAAAATCAGCATTAATTACTCATCTTTTTAATACTTAAATGGTCACATTCACAAGCCAAAACCAAAGATCGCACTCATAACGCAAGCAAAACACTACTGAAAGACTTTCACTTCAGCAGATTGTTAGACATGATGACAAACAAGTATTTCCCAGCACATCTGCTCACCACTGGACAGGACTGTATGTTGAGCTTTGGATGCTAGATTCTTAAAGCTACAGTTCACCAGAAATTAAAAGTCTGTCTTGGTTTACTCATCCTCATGTCGTTCCAAAGCTATATGACTTATTTTCTTTTGTTGAACACAAAAGAAGATATTTTGAAGAAAGTTGGTAACCAAACAGTTTTGGTTTCCATTGACTTCCATTGTATGGACCAAATAAATAAATAAATAAAACTCTTTTATGTTCAGCAGAAGAAAGAAAGTCAAGAAATGATGACAAATTTCATTTTTGGGTGAACTACACATTTAACTATCTTCAAAATGCAGTTTCAGTGGAGTTCAGCAATTACAAATAAAATATAAATTTCTAATCCATTTCTAATGTACGAAATGGCTGCAAGCCAAGCATAGCAATTCGACTGGAGGAAAGAGAGTTTCATTTAGCTTCAGTGAGAATAAGTAGTGCAATACTTAATACATCACTTTTCTTAGAAAGAAGTATTTTAACAAATAATTATAATAAAAAATTTCAAAAATAAAAATCTCCAAACAATCAACCAGCTTCACTAGAAAACCATCGCTAGACTAGCAGCAAACCACATCTAATCAGCATATAGCAGTATGGAAACTCGAGTTTAAGCTGGTCTCTTTAGTAGGGTTATCAAACACACAAACAAACAGGTATATTAGCCAGCACTCAATCACTACATTACATGGTAGTGCCAAACGAGAAGTGTTTTACAACATGTCCAGAAAGTCTCTACAGAAAACAACGCATGCCATTTGGAGACTGGCGGCCAGACAGTTGAGGGCAGAGGTCAAAGATGGCATGAAGACTCCAGTGAGTCTGAGCAGGGGGCAGGTGGCAGAGCCTTGCGTGGCATCACCCGCTCTGACAGGTGCAGCGGTCAGACCTTGGAGAGAGCTGCAGGTTATCAAGAGAGCCAGACGCCATATGTGTGTGGTTTGATACGGTATTAATGATACTAGGCACTCTAGTGTGCTTTTGGGCCTGAGACAAGACTGCTTGTCATTCTCAGCTGCCTTCATAAACTCTGTCCAATCAGGCACCAAGAACGTATGGCAGGGTTTGGACAAGGCAGAGAGTCATATGTGAGTTTATCCGTGTTCCCAGTAGATGAAAGAGCCTGACTTCATGTTACCGTCCCGTTAAGGGAATGGAACGATACAATGATTGTTGATCACTTTAATCATGAAAGAGAGATTTCTTGGACATATGCTGAAAACTCTTTGATCTTCTTCATTTCCAATCAACTCACACCATTCCGTTATAGGCCCCTCTGCCCATCGTCATGTCTCCTTCAACTCCATCCGCTTCTATTTTAGAGCGAATAGCGCTTGGTGAGGCAGAGGCTATAGTTGTGGACTGACAGAGGCTGCAAGTGATTTATGGGAGTGCTAATCTTCAGGCTAAAAACTATGAGGACGGAGCCTTTGGAGTTGAGGGGAACTCTGGGAAGGTGAAGAGAACCGTCATCAGCACTGCGGAGAAGTGGCTGCGTTCTTTGCTGACAAACTTGATTCCTTCAGGACAGTTCGTAATAAGTAATGACTTACTTTGGCTCCTATGAAATACGAGAGCATGGTATACGTGCTTGGCCCGAGGTATAAAGAGAAAACGGATGAATGGAATTTCCAAACTAAATTCCTAAAACCTAATAAGTTCCATTTATATACATCAACATGCATCATATACTGCACAAAGGGTCCTTGTATGAAGAGAAAAACAACTATAAAAAATTTAGTTCTGAGTCTTAAAGACGCAGTGCGTCATTTTTTAGCAGCAAAAAGAGTAATAGCAATCCGTTTGATTTAACATTCTGACAAAATTCATAAAATGTTGGATTTATGCTTTAAAAAGCATAATCTAACATTTTGTGAAGGACATTCACCATGGCTCATTTATTTGATCAAAAATACAGTAACAACAATAATATTGTGAAATATTACTGCAAATTCAAATAACTGTTTTCCATTCCTGTGATGCAAAGCAGAATTTTTAGCATAATTAATTTTTAGCATAATTTTTAGCAGTCTTTAGTGTCACGTGATCCTTCAGAAATCATTCTAATATGCTGATTTACTTCTCAAGAAACATTTTTTTATCATCAATGTTGAATCAATTGAGTTTGGATACAATAATAACATTTTTGGGGATTCTTTGATTTATTTAAAATGGCACTTTTTGTAACAATTTAAATGTCTTTGAATGTCTTTAAATGACTGTTAACATTTATTAATTTAATGCATCCTTGCTCAAAAAAAGTATTAATCTTACTGACCTAAATACAGTAGTATATTCTCTGACAACATGCCTTAATACTGTACTTCAATATTTTTACTTCAAATTAATGTATTTTTAGGATGTGATTCTTTTTGCAGTAATTTATTCTGTTGCGGCCACATGTAGCACATAAAAACTCACTGTAAAATCATTGTAATGCATGGCTTCTCCTGACTTATTGCTTTAATAGCCCGTGGGTTCTCTGTTTTATCAATCCTGGTCTGGAGGGGAGTGTGTAACTGAGAAGTTTTGAGAGCCAATGTCAAAGAGAACGAAACAAAGCGGCTCTCATTTGATCTCTGAGGTGCTGCACTTTAAATTCATGTCACGCCATCATCTCTCGTTCCTACTTGACATA